CTCATCCACCATCTATCCACCCACCCACCATTGTCCATCCATTCCAGAGCCAATGTTGAGCACCTGCTGTATGCCAGGAGCCCTTGTCTCTCCCTCTCTGCCCTCCTGGTTCCCTGATAGTCTCCCCTAGTGCCCAGCATCTCCAACAATGATCTGAGCTCCCTGGGGGCAGCATGATGGCCCCTCTGTGTTGGTGCCCAGGAAGTGCTTAGTCCATGTACAATCCATGTGTCCCCTCAGTTGACGCCCAGAAGGTCTTGCTTTAGCAGCCCAAGGCACATTTCCTCTGAAACGACATTGTCATATAAGCTGTTTCTGGGGGCTTCCCAAACACCACAGGACACAGTGGGGGGCCCTGAGGATTTTGTTTTTGAGCACCACTGTGTACCTGCCCTGAGCCAGGCCTGAGGACTCAGGATGAGGAGGTCTGACTGAGAGGAGAACCAGTCCTGCTTTGGGCACCGGGAGGGGGCTCCAGCTGGCTGTGGGCAAGGGGGCTGGAGCCGCCTGGTGGAGGGTGCTCCAGGCAGCAGGACCCATGGTCCAGAGGCCCAGAGGTGCCAGGGGACCTGGCACGTTCTGGGGCTACAAGCAGTAGGGTGGGCTGGACTCACTGAGCACCTACTGTGCACTAAGTGGTGGGCACAGTGCGGCCTCAGTCCCCCTTCCCGTGGAGCTGGTGGGAGAGAAGGTGGACATGGTCAGGTCAGCGGGGCTAAGGACCTGGAGAAGAAGTGGAGACAGAGGGGCAGCAAGTGGCGGGAGCCCAGGTGACGTGGGGTAGGGTGGGTGGGACTGGAGGCCCGCTGGGCTCTGTCCTGCCCACTGCCAATGCCTGCACTGACCAGGGCCCTGGGGCTTTGGCTGGGCAGGCCCCTCTCGGCTCTCAGGGCTCAGGGCTGTGGCCCCCGGGTCCCAAGAGCACAGCGAGAGGAAGCAGGCTGCGTCTGTGCGGGTGGGAGGCTGCCGGGCTGAGCACCCTGGGTGCCTGTCGGGTGTGGCCTCCAGAGCTCCATCTTGCAGGTGGCGCAGAACGCGGCCCTGTACACGGGGGACCCCAACCTGGGGCTGGAGCTGTTCGAGGCGGCCGGAGACATCTTCTTCAATGGCAGCTGGGAGCGGGAGAAGGCTGTGTCCTTCTATCGGGTGAGCAGCGCCACCCGTCTGCCCTTGATGGGCCAGGCGTAGGCTTGGCTGGGTCAGCCCTCCTGGAGGCCGGGCTGCCCTGGGCACCTGCTTGGCTTCCTGGAATGACCTGGCAAGCCCACCAGGGCAGGGCAGAGGCCCAGCCTTGGTCTCTCGCTTGTACCCAATGGTCTGAAGCAACCCTGGGTGGGAAGGTCTTGTCTGCCTCTTACGGATGAGGAAACAGGCTGGGGGCAAGGGGAGGTGTCCAGGGACATGCACATGAGACCTGGCCTCCTCCCTCCCCGTCCCCAAGGCTCCTGGGGTGCAGCTGGGCCCCGTCCACGTCAGTGTGTGTTTCAAGTGGAGGGTGCTGGAGCCTCCCCCTCAGGCCCTGGTGGCTGGGGGCGGGAGGCGCTGGTCCAAGACTGGGAGGGGGCGAGTCCAGATGGCCCCCAGCGCCCAGTGTAGCTGCGGGACCCTGACCCGTCCTCATCCCAGGACTCGGCTGTGGGAAGACCCTAGAGCGGGAGGGGGCGTGGGAAGCTCCGGCCCCGTGGGCTGAGGGGCACTTTGCACCTGGGCGCTGCAGAGGCCTGAGCCACCTCCCCCTGTGACAGGACCGGGCGCTGCCCCTGGCGGTCACCGTGGGGAACCGGGAGGCGGAGCTGCGGCTGTGCAACAAGCTGGTGGCCCTGCTGGCCGCGCTGGAGGCCCCGCAGGAGGGCCTGGAGTTCGCCCACGAGGCCCTGGCTCTCAGCATCACCCTGGGTGAGCCCCTGTCCACTGCCCAGGGCCAGTCAGTGTCCCGCAAAGGGCAAAGCCCTCTGGGCTCCTCTGCCTCTTCCCTGCCAACCGGGTGCAGGCCAATGGGCACCTGGGGCACTCCTGGCTCTGGGCCTCCACGGCCTTGGTCCTCCCTGCCCTGGTCAGCCACTACTGTTCTCTGGCTGGGGAAATCCCTGTCCCCTTCCCAGAAGCCCCTCCCTTAACTCTAGGTGTCCCTCTGCCCAGCACCTCACCGTGCTGAGCCAGGCCTTCCGTCTCCCTGCAGACGCAGGGAGCCCACAGCAGAGCGTCGTGCACTGCCCACAGGCTCCAAGCGCTGGCCCCGAAGGGGGAGGACGCTGGGGACCACCCAGGCTGGCCTGCCTGTTTGCAGGGGAAGGCCTGGGGCTCCACTGGACAGAGAGTCCCCAAGGCAGGAGGCTCTGCTGGTGACACACTCAGGAAGAGGCCGCAGCAGGTCTGCAGGTGGCCTGAGCCCTAGTGCCCAGGAGCACAGGACCGCACGGCCATCAGGGGTTCCTGGTTACAATCCAGGGAGCTCTGTGCGGCCTGGAGCAGGGTGTCCAAATCCACCCTTGGCCCACTCCTGAGGTCCAGGAGAAGCAGGCGTTGTCCACCCACGTTACAGAGAGGAAAAGCAAGGCCTGGGGGAAGCGACCAGCTGGAGCTGCCCAGTGCTGAGAGGCAGGGTCTGCCCTTGGTCCAGATCGCCCTGCGTCACACCCACCCCTACGCCTGTCCCCAGGTGACCGGCTGAACGAGCGAGTGGCCTACCACCGGCTGGCCGCCCTGCACCACCGGCTGGGCCACGGCGAGCTGGCCGAGCACTTCTACCTCAAGGCCCTGTCGCTCTGCAGCTCGCCGCTGCAGTTCGAAGAGGAGACGCTGTACTACGTGAAGGTGTACCTGGCGCTCGGCGACATCATCTTCCACGACCTGAAGGTGGGGGCCGCACTCCGTGGGGGGCCTGGGGCCTGGGACCAGCCCCCCAGCAGCGCCGAGTGGTCTCCCTGGAGCCCCAGGCCTGGCTGTAAGGAGCTTCTAGAAAGGCAGATGCTGTCCAGCCCCTAGGGTGGCCAGGTCAGCCAGGAACTCATGGGGTACAGGACACTCAGTAGCGGGTGTAGTCAGGGGTCTCCTAGAGGTGACGCCAGGCCAGTCTTGATGGTCAAGTAGGAGTTAGCAAGAAAGGGCAGAGGGGGTGGACTGCTGGGGGGACTGCAAGATCCGGCCCACCCTGGCCCCCGCTCCAGGCCTGCCCAGGTGCCAGCCGCCTCTCAGGATCCCTCCCAGGGCCCGGGGGGAAGGTGACCTTCAAGGCACCCAGGCTGCACTTCCCAGACAGGCAACAGGCTCAGGGAGGGGTGCAGAGACCCCCGCAGCCGGCTGCCCTTCCAGGCCCTGAGCCGGGCCTCTTTCCTGCCCCTGCCCTCAGAGCTCCCTGCAGGTCTCCCAGCCCAGGCCACACGTCACACCACAGCACAGGGCCTCCTCCCGCTGCGGGCGAGGGAGCCCCAGTTCATGGGCTGAGCTCTCGGGGCCCTGACAGGAATCGGGGAGCTGGGGCGCCTGCCCACCCACCCCGAACGCCCACCCCTGCCTGGGCTCCTGTGGGCCCTGCTGTGCGCTGGCGGCACCTGGTGGCCAGACGTGGTCCCTGCAGCCTCCTGCTGTGGCCGGGTCCCCATGAACTCAGGCTGCATCTGGCAGCCCCGAGGGACACTCACGTGCCCACCTGTGATTCTGGGGCCAGGGTCTCTGGGAAGGGGCCTTTACCTCCTCCTGGGTACACCTGCCATCTGCCCCGCCCATGGGAGGAAGGAAGGGCCAGTGGCAGCCAGAGGCCAAGGTCGGGCCGGGCGTGGTGGGGTCAAGGACAGAGAAGTCCCTGTTTCCTTCCTGCACCTCTCGCCCGGCTGTCACCAGGGCCTCACCTCGACCTCACGGCCAGCCTCCCACTCCCTCGGGGAGCCCTGTGTCCAGGGGCTCAGGGCAGCTGGTCCCTCCAGTGCGCAGCACTTAGCCTGTGGTGCCCTGGGAAGGGGACAGCAGGAAGCGGAGAGAGAGGGTGCCCCTGGCAGCTGTCCCTAGCCCCGTCTACCCGGGGGTCCTCACAGCCAGAGGGGCCAGGCTCAGCCAGGACGGAGGGCCCGGGCGAATCCTGAGCTGCCCCCACGGGCACACCCACAGGCTCGCACATGGGGTTGCACACAGGAACACCCACGGGCTTGCACACAGGGACACACATGGGCACGCACACAGGCTCGCACATGGTCCATGCAACAGGCACATACAGGGGCTCGCACACAGGGACACACATGGGCACGCACACAGGCTCGCACACTGGCTCGCACACAGGACACGGGCACACACACAGGCTCACACACAGGACACGGGCTTGCACAAAGGGACACACATGGGCACGCACACAGGCTCACACACAGGACACGGGCTCGCACATGGGCTCGCACATAGAACATGGGCATGCACACGGGCTCGCACACAGACATGCACACGGGCTTGCACACGGGCTCACACATGGGCACACACACAGGCTCCCACAATGGCTGGCTCCTTCCTGTTCAGTTGGGATGCCTCCTCTTCCAGGAAGCCCTCCCGCCCCAGCCCAGGTGGAGTTGGGGGCCTCCCTGTAGCTTCCTCCAGGTCCCCGGCCTGGGAGCCCCAGGCAGCAGGAAGCACCTACTCACTGCCACACCATCTGTGGTTTTGTCCTCGGGTCCCTGCTCCAGGGGGCAGCAGGAGACAGAGAGGAGAAAGGACTGTGTGTCTTGTCCCTGGCCCTGGGAGCCACAGTGAGAGCCAAGGAGGAGAGGGACAGGCCAGCCCAGGTCCTAGGAGGCCTCTGGGGCAGCGGGGGAGGAAAACCTCGGGGGCAGAGGTGGAGATGGCCAAGGGTGGGCGGGCAGGGTCCTCACAGGTGCTGGGTGAGGGGCAGGAGGCAGGAGGTGGGGGGGTGTCAGGGGTGCACCCAGGAGGGCCTGGGGAAGATGACATCCGGGAGGTGGCCTGGCTCGGGTCACTTGTCTGCCACCCACAGCACATGGCCTGGGGGCCGCCAGAGAGGGGACAGACCCTGCAGCCCAGGGGACCCAGCCCAGCCTGGGAGGGAGAGGCCCGAGGGGGAGACCAGTGGGGGACAGGGTGGGGGGAGAGGAGCTCGCAGAGCAGCCGTCCTCCGACACCAGGCAGCGGGGGACGCTGCTCCAGGCCCGACTCTGGGTCACACTGGGGGCGCTTGGCCCCACCCCGCCATGGGAGCTGCGGGTCCTCCTGGGGGAGCCTCCAGGAAGCGCGTCGGTCACGAGGACCCGGGAGTTGGGCGCCCACGGGGCAGAGCTCAGAGCCCCCATCCGCAGGCTCGGCCGTGGCCAGCCGTGGCCCTGTGGCCAGCAGACACGGAGCCCCGGGGGGCCGCAGAGGTGGGCTGTGGGCAGGCCAGCGGGTGGAGGAGCCGCGGGCCCGGGGCGGGGACCTGGGGCTGGGCTCCGAGTGGGAAGCCGCCTGCTCACGCGGCCTCCCCGCCTCAGGACCCCTTCGACGCCGCGGGCTACTACCAGCTCGCGTTGGCCGCGGCCGTGGACCTGGGCCACAAGAAGGCCCAGCTGAAGATCTACTCGCGCCTGGCCACCATCTATCACCACTTCCTCATGGACCGCGAGATGTCCCTCTTCTTCTACCAGAAGGCCAGGACCTTCGCCTCCGAGCTCAACACCCGCAGGACCAACCTGGTGCCCCAGCGCTTCTGCAGCAGGGCCCCCTGGCTGGCCCCCGGCCACCTGCCCTGACGCCGAGGGACAGGCCCTGTGGAAGGGCCTCTGCCTGCCTGGGGCTCTGGAGGCTCCTGGCAGGCTGGACACGGGGAAATAGCAATAAATCTCTCCAACGACCGCTGGCCTCTCCCGGTGTGGCCTGTGAGTCTCCTTTTCAGCCTCCGCCTCCCGGCCTGTCAAATGATGAAGAGGTGGCGGGAGCCAGGCAGGATCCTTTGTCAGCCCTGTCCTCCCTCCCAGCGTCTGGAGCTGCCCTGTCCTCAAAATGCCCAGTATGTGAGGAGTTGGGACTGTTATTACCCCAGTTAAAGAAACGGAGGCACAGAGAGGTTGAGTGTGTTACCCACTGTCACACAGCAGGTAGGGGCTGAGCCCCTGAGCCCTGGGCAGTAACTACCACACCACCCTACCAGCCTGCCTTTTGGCCTTGCTGGTGGCTCCTGGACCTTCTCACTTCTCAGGGGTCACAGGCTAGGGCAGACAGGCCTAAGTGCTGTCCACTGAGTCCTGTGGCCCAGGACCTTGCTGGGCTGAGCATGGCCGGGCAACCCCAGCCTCCTCAGCCCTGCAAGAAGTGGGCAGTTGGTAAAAGGCTCCCCACCTCTCCCTTCTGGCCACCAGCCTCAGCCCTGTCCCCAGGAACTCTGGGTGCCATGGGCATCCAGGCCCCTGGGAAGGGTCCAGGTGGTGTCTTCACCAACCCCAGGCAGGGAGGCCGAGGCTCAGAGGCGCAGGGCCGGGGAGGGCCTGCCCCTCCCCACTGTGCTGCCTGAGCCCCTCTTGCAAACATGATTTCAAGTGAGGTGGGTTTGGAGCAGACTGGGCCATTGTGAGGTCAGCCAGCCCTCCCTGTGCCCAGAGCCTCTAGAAGAAACCTCACTGCCTCCCCAGCCTCCTAGGATGGAACGGGCCTGGAGAGGGAGGGGCCGTGGGCAGAGCCTGGGGTGGAACTGGAGGGGCTGCTGACTGGTCTCCACCAGCCCAGGGGGAGCCCAGCCGGGAGGCCCAGCCTGCTCAGCCCACGCGGCTCCCAGCCTCGCCCACCAGGGGGCAGCAGAGAGCGCACCCAGCCCCTCAGGGGGCCTTGGCTGGGGGGGGGGGCTCCTGCTGCCCTGTTCTGTGGGACCAGGAGGAGGGGGACCGGCAACCTGTGCCACTTGGGCCAGAAGTGCTGTCGCAGCCACCCTGAGGACCAGGTCTCTGAAGTCACCGCCCCTGGACAGCGTCCACCTCTGCACATGGGCTGGGTCCACAGGCCCAGCTGTCCTCTGCCACCTGCCTGGGAGCACAGGGCCTCAGAGAGCTGGTACCTCTGGGCCTCAGCCCAGTTACCAGGAGATGAAGGCAACATGTGGGGTGCAGAGAGCCTGAGCCAGCGCTGCCCAGCCTGGCCACTGCTGCTGCGATGACCGCAAGACCGACTCCAGCCTCCACAGAACACTAAACCAGAGGCTGAGTAACTGTGGTCAACTTGCTTAACCCCTCAGACCTTCTGTCTCTTCATCAGTACCAAAGGGAAACCCTTCCTAAGGTCCCGGGAAGAAGGGAGAAAGCATGAATAGTGAGAGCTGAGCCTGCGTGCAGCTCGGGCCGCGGCCTCCTCTGTGGCTGAGGGACAGAGCTCAGCTGGCTTGGGCACAGGCCCGCTGGACTTCAGCCCTGCTCTGCCCTTCAAGGCCAGGCCCAGGCAGTGCATGCCCCCTTCCAGCAGAGTGGACGTGAGGCCACCCAGGGGCCTGTGCCAGGGCCTCTGCAGCACAGACTGCCTGTGCAGGCCCCGTGCCTCCCATGCGCTCACCGCCCACTGACCGCTCCGTGGGCCGGTACAGGCCAGGAGCAGCCGAGCCACGCCCAGGGCCCCAGGGCTGGGGATGAGTCCCCACTCCTTCTAGGGCTCCCTGGGATTGTCCTCTGGACAGAGAAGAGCAGCCGTGTGCCAGGGCCACAGAGCCCAGCTCCGTCCCGCGTGGCCAGCTGCCCCGCAGTCCACCAGGCACACGTCCAGGCTGGGCTCTTGCTCTGGAGGGGACTCTGAGGTCCAGGGAGGGTGGGAGCCCCCAGCACGTCTGCTGTCATCTGCGTCCACCACAGTGGCCGGCGGCCCTGACCAGGCACAGGTGTTAGGAAGGTGGTGCTGCCCAGCAAGGCAGCAGGCTCTCCCCAGGGCAGGGGGGAGAGGGCACCTGGAGGGACTTCCCAGTCCTCAGGGGGCTTCTCGCGGGCCCTGGGGTCCCCGTCTGCAAATGCAGAGTGTCCAGGTGTCCCTGCTGGGGCTTGGGGTGCCCTCGGGCTCTTGCCTGCACCATCTGGGACCTCAGCTTTGTGTTCTAGTGGCTGTCCACTGGCACGTCCTCGGGCGTCCAGGGCCTGGCCTCATGCCTGTGGAGCAGGTGACGGGGAAGTCAGCTGGGGGTTCCCCCAGGAGCCCAGCAGTCCCCTTCAACTGCCCACAAGGACAGGGGCCCATCTGCACAGGCTGAGCTCCGCCACAGCCACGGGGCCTGGAAGGGCCTGAGACAGGAGAAGTCACAGCCCAGGTGACACGTCCCCTGACCCTGAGCCTGGACCTCTGACCACCCACACAGACCACAGCCTGGCCTCCGGGCTCGTGATCCGCGGCCTGGGCTGGTCTCCTTTATGAAAGGAGGGACTCCAGGGCCGGGCCATGTGGCCAGGCATCAGGGCCATGGGGACAGCAGGGGGCGGTAAGTACTGGCTGCAGAGTGAGGCGCCCTCCCTGGGGCCGGGGGGAGGTCTGTCGGGGAGAGACAGTCCCAGTGCCCCGCCCGTCCCCAGAACTCAGCCCGAGGCCAGCAGGGCCTCCCCTGCCCTCCCAGCCGCTGCCCGGGCCGCCCGGCATCCCCCCACCCCCCGGCAGGTGCTGGAGAAGGCCGTCCAAAGCCCCTCACACTGGACAGCCCCCTCCAGGGCAGCGGCGGGCGGGAGGCCCACTGGGTGGGTCATCAGCACCGGGAGGAGCTGCAGACGCACCCATTCCCGCCACGGCCTGGACGCGGGCCAACGCGGCCGGCTGGCCCTGCCTTACCCAGGGTCCCCGCCTGGCCGCAGAGACTTAGGCCTCTGCCCCTCTGGGGACAGCCCTCCCTGGGCAGGAAGAGCCCTGGCTGTGGACGGGACCCCTGGTGGGCTCTCCGTGTGAGTCAAGGCTGTGCACAAACCCAGGCAGACCCCGAAAGGACACAAAGGCAGAAGGACACAGAGGGCTCAGGGTCCCCCCACGCCCGGGAACAGCAGGACAGAGGGGAAGAAACACAAGTGGGCACCTTCAGAGGTGACCCCAGAGAGTCCCCGTCTCAGGCGCAAGGCCAGGCGCGGGGAGAGAGCCCGGCTCCTGCAGGCGCGCAGGGAGGCCGGCCGCGGCCCCACCACAGAGCTGGACTGGAGACGAGGCCGTCGGAGACCTCAGCTCACCTACTGGCCCACGGCAGCAGAGCCCCGCGGCTCCTCCCACAGGGTCCCCGGCCTGCGTCCACTTCAGAACCGGATCCTGGGTCGCGTGGGAGACGGAAGGGCCGGGCGTCCACACTCCAGCTCCCACAGGGGGCAGGGGGCCTGTCCTGTCAGCGGCCATCCTCCCTGTGACCCAGGCCTGCCCCAAGCCACCTGCGAAGAGAGGCTCGTCCTGGCTCAGGCTCCGGGGCTGCCGGCCGTGGTCAGTGCCCGTGCTCCGGCCTCACGGTCTGAGCGAGCGGGCACAGGGCGGGCACGGGGCGGGCAGGGCAGCCCAAGGCGGGGGCTGGGGGAGAGGAAGGGCGGTTGAGTTCTTGCGGGGTTCAGAGAGTGAGTGCGCGCAGCCCAGGGGTGTCCGGGGGAGTTCCGGGGGGGTTCCCGTGGGGGTGTGGTGTTGCTGGGGGCCGCGTGGGTGGCGTTCGGCAGAGTTCCGGGGAGTGTGCGTGGAGTGCTGCTGGAGGTCAGGCTGGAAGGAAGCGTTTCGCCAAACACCAGTCTCCTATTTGAGATGCCAGCGTCCTGAGGCAGCTTCGGTTCTGGAAAAGCGTCTCAAATAGGAGACTCATAACCAACCGGTGGCACCTTGGCACCAAGGTGTGTGAGGTCCCAGCCCCCG